ATCCTGAGTTTTTTACTGTTATTTTTAGCAAGTTTGCTTTTGTTGGTAAACTTCAGGGATTCAACATGAAGGCCACATGTTAAGAAACAAAAAGGTTTGAGAAGTATATAGGCCAAGAGACGAGGAAAACTATAGGAAAGACTAAGAAGTGGACATAAAAATAGGGAAATGTTTAACACTGAAATGTGTCTGTGTACGTTTCCACATAGCAACTCTTTCTAGATGCAGTTTTAAATAATTGCTATAGTACTGTGATTATAAACAAGTAGCAAAGTGGGAACATTTTGGAAATTGGACAGACTTGTTGGCTTCTAATCACCCAAAAGATTGCCCTGAATCTCAGATGACGTGCTGGTTGTAGTTAAAGACATGATCTGGGTTTGAATAGGCAGTTCTTCTAGCACCACCACCATCACCCGGTACATTTACCAAGAAGGATGGAAAAGTCTATATATGAGCCGCCATTCCATTATTATCTTTCTGAAACAGACTGGGAATTAAATCAGAGTTAATATTACAATCTTTATGTTTCTTAGTTACAGTCCTCTTAGAGAGCTGCATTGAGGACAACATTACCAGGCACGATTTCAGTTCGGATTCACAGAACAATTTTCCTTCAGTGATTGCCATCGAGGCCACATAACTGAAACTAGGTTTATAAAAAAGGTTGTGACTTTGCGTTTGTTGCACTGAGTAACTTACCCAGAATGAAACAAAGGATTTGTAGGAATATTTTGGCTAAAATTTGTTTCTTAATGCGAACTTCTTAAAAACCCAAGTCTTCATTATGTTTCCTGGATAGAATGTAAAGCCGCAGATTCATTGGAGAAAAATGTTATCAGTTATAATATCAATTACTTTGGCATTGTAATTATAGTGTGATCCAACCAATCTAAAGCTAAAGGGAAGAGGGACAGGAATTGGACAAATACTACAAGATGTCAAAAAAAATGTCTGTCCCTTCCCCCAAACCATAGAAGAAAGTTAATTGTGACATGGTAAAGTTAGGATTTGTATACTGCATGAACCAGAAAGAGGGCTGAGACAATATCTACAGACCCCTCACATCCTGGACATAATCTATTTCAACTTCTCCCCTCAGGACGCCACTAAAGAGCATTGCATACCAAAACAACTAGACATAAAAATAGTTTTTGTCCCCTACCAGCACTCTGCTGAAGACTTAATTCCCACAGCACTGTATCATTTTTCATCTTCCCTATTTTCTCCTATTGGTTTCTTGTGATTTGTCAATTGTTGTTTGTAATTTAGGATTAAAGACCTATGACTTGCTGTTTATATGTACACTATGAGAATATGCACCGGAGACAAATTCCTTGCGTGTCCGATCACACTTGGCCAATAAAGTATTCTTTTCTATCCTACTTACATTTTGTCAGTAGATATTACCCAGCTTTTGTTTGTGTCTATTTATTACATTTCTGTTTAGCTCAGAGATCCTATAATACAATTTCTCCATAGAATTAATTTTTCAGTATATAGTAGCATACAGTTAATACTGCCAAAGGATTCTGGTTTGAGATGTTGTAGGCATAACAATCAAGCTAGTGTGTTGTTTTCTGGCTGGATAACGTGGAGGCATATTGCCGCCATTTGGCGTTGCGTGTCATTAAGTTGTGAATAATGCCTAGCTTTGTCTTTCCATCTGCTGCTGTGGAAGCTGTGAAACATTTGATTTCTGAGTTTATTAAGAGCTGGCCTAATAAACGCTGGTTAAATACTGACAAGAAAAATGTAGTGTTGGTTAAAATGCTAAATTTGGAACTGATGTCAAATCCACATTGCTAGTCCATTATCATTTGCTTTCAAATCTTGTCTGAATCCTGGATGCTAAGGTCTAGAATAGCTAGTGCATAACTTAACTTTGGTTAATTCTAGATAACACATGCTCCATTGGGCCATTGCTTTAGACCAGGGGTATCAAACTGGTGGTCCACGGGCCGGATATATCAGGCCTGCCCCAGCTTCTCAAAGGCAAAAAATCGTTGCGATATGTCACGATACGTCGTGTGGCGTTATTGAGCTTGACGCTCGTACTTCAAACATATTTCCTTACCAGATTCTTCAGTGCCTTCAGCAATGACAGCTAATAATGTGCTGCCTTTACTGGAAAAGTTGGTATACATTCAGCGACGTTTCTGCCTTGAAAACAACCTGCTGGGAATATGAGTCACCTAACAGCTATTTGGGTTAGAAATATATAAACCAGGATAAACATTTTAAAACTGTAACTTTAAGAAAATGCAAAACTGTAATTAGGTGTGGTTTCTCAAACGGCCATAAGATGGAGCCAGAAACCTGGATTGTTTAGTCTTAGTCTCAGAAGAGAGTGTGTCTAAGTGAGTATCTCTGTTTCCTTCTGTTGGAAAGTGTTGCTGTTCCTCCATTTCTTCTAATTGACTGATATTACTGGATTTAATGTAAGTCTGATACTGAACTGTTTTTGACACTGGAATTTGATATTTGGATTATCCCTGGATTGAAAAACTGACTGATTTACCTGTGAATGACTTTTGGATTGCTTATTTTGGACTTTGCTTAAACCTTTCTGGAAGTAAAAACCTACATTTACCGTACAGTGTATCTGTGTGCTCTGTGTGTATTATTCAAACATTCCTCTCAAATACGTCTCCCTGTATGCGCTCATTCTCCTAACGGGGAATTACCTCAACACAACCCATGTTGAATTGTGTAGCACAGTCAAACCACAGAATGGGGATTGTGTTATGACATGTTCCTTGACTGTACTAATAAAAAAAAGGAAGGGTTTGTACTTCAAAGCAATGTTCTTTCTGTCCGTTAGGTCTTCGGCAAGAATATGCAGCAACTACTTCTCGGCGTAGCTCTGGTTCTTCATGTAGTTCTATGCGGCGTGGAACATTTAGCGACCAGGAACTTGACGCCCAGAGCTTAGAGGATGAAGAAGACAGCTGCCATCATGCCGTGCACCCAGCTATGAATAGATTCTCTCCATCACCCCGCAATTCACCTCGACCTTCGCCAAAACAGTCCCCGAGAAATTCTCCCCGGTCTCGATCTCCTGCTAGAGGAATAGAGTACAGCAGAGTGTCACCTCAGCCCATGCTTAGCCGCCTGCAGCAACCCCGCCTTTCACTTCAAGGACATCCCCCTGATTTACAAACCACCTCTGTCAAAAATGAAGGTAAAAAGACTCTGATCTTCGGTTTTACGTATGAAACGTTCAACTAGTAGCTGTGAGTGTGCCCCCAGTGGTATGGGAGCATTTAAACTCTGGTTGTGAAATCAGCAGCTCTATAGATTATTCAAATATAATATAATATAATATAATAAAATAAATAAAATAAAATAATGAAATGAAATGAAATGAAATGAAATGAAATAATAAAATAAAATAAAATAAAAATGTGCTATGTATTTGGCCTTACAGCCAAAGATACAAGGAAAGGTAGAATACGATTTGTGACAGGGTTGGGTGTGTTTGTTTTTCATTAGGATGATTAGAAATCCATAAGCTCTGAAAACAACTTTGTTTTCTGGCCATGTAGTTTTCTGGCCAAATTGTTCTCATTTTGAGAACTCCATCAAGAAGAATGTTCATTAGGAAAAAAATAAGGTTAATTAGGCCAAAATAGTGACAACTATTGTATTTTTTCCCTAAACAGAATTAATAGTAAAATGAAAATTGTTGCTTTAAAGAGGTGGTAGCTTTTAAGATATTTAAAAAAAAAACTTCTTGAGCTGCTAAGCTATTGCAAATAGGATTAATTATTCTCAGCAAAGATATATGAGAAAGGAAAAGTAAATTCCCTTTTCTGTAAGCATGCGTGTATTCAATTTTCAGTTTTCAATTATTCCTTGCATGGTAGGTTATCTGCCATTATTTAAAAAAAATAATGAGGGCCAATGTAATAAAAAAGATAGGATATGATAATATTTTTATTCAATTTATTTATTCAATTTATTTGCCACCCATCTCATACTGAAACAACTCTTAATAATATTCTTAAAAGCTTCCTAGAACCAATTAAAATATAAATTATTTTCAACTATGCACAACTCCAAAAGAAAAGAAAATAATGGCAAAGCAAACAACAAACATCGGCTAATTCAAAACTAGAATTGGAAAATAAAGTGTTCATTCTTAACCTCAAACTTAACTTGCTTGATGGATGAAGCCAAAACTGTTTATTTGAGGGGTAAATATATATATATATACCGCATGCCACAAAGTAAAATCTTTTGCCCTTTGAATCAAATCAGTCAACATTAGTTTGAAATAAAGAAAGGGAGCAAAGTCACTGGATTCATGAGAATATATGGAAGGGGGAAGAAAGTTACGTTTTAAAAGAACAACCGAGATTTTATTATATCAGGATTTAGTTCATTTTATTCTTGCATCTTTTTCTAAGATCTAGTCATATATGTGTTATACCTGAAGGATAAATACTGTATCCAGAAACTAAAAAGTGTTTTTTTCAAAGTTCAAAGTAGAAAGATACTGTTAGAGGGTGTACATTTCCTAATAATTTCATTACAGTTCAGAAGAAAAATAACTAGGATGTTTCTTCTGTTAACATTTTCCTTTAAAAGTTAGCATGTTTTTAATGGGATTCAATGTGGTATGTAAACTAAACTGTTGCTAAGAGACCACAAACAGTCTCAACACTGTTATTTTTCTGTTGTTGTTGGATGTTCCTGCTGCTTCCTAGCATGTTGCATTGCTAATTCTACTTTGTGAAATGGGACCTATCCAGACTGTACATCGTATAGCACGGTTTAAAAAACGATTGCATTTTAAAAAATTTCATCTTCCTGTTTTGCTCCCTTTCATTGCTTGCTTTAAAGCTTTCTTTCAGTTCTGTATATCCTCTGCAGCAAGTGAAATTCCAGCTAACTGTTTTGTTAGTTACCAGGTAGACTTAAGATCTAAGGAAATTGAATGAAAGAATTCTATCATCCTTATCAACCAAACAGTTATTAGCATTTCAAAAATGTAATTCTTTGACTTGGAGATGACAAAATTTGAGCTCTGTGAGCAATCTGAACTCAAGTTATTATAGTACTATAATTTCTGTTACCTCAATTAACAGGAGGCTGATCAAAAATAATTATAAAGAATGTCTGGAGCATATGTTTTTCTAAGCAGATCTTAAGTGTTTCAAAAGTTTGAATAGACGATAAATATAAATCAAGTGAAACAATGTGTGGTTTGTACCTTAAATGGGACCCTTTCAAAAAAAAAAAAAGTAGCAAAAATTCCTTCTAAAGTCCAACAGAAAATAATTTATGCTTCCTAGAAGAAGCGGATATGCTGCTTTTTGTCTGAAATATTGAGGGTGACATCTTGTAAATGTACCCTTTTGTGTCTTGCACCTTCCCCTTTTCACATACCTACAAGTGGTGTGGAAAATGCCAGACTGGAAAATAATCTGTGTTTTGTACTGACAGGCTTGTGGCTATCTGCCACTAACTCTTAAATAGGATTTAATCTCAGTGGAAAAACTATACAGGGAGGGTGGAAACGGGAGCCGTAAGCTAGATAGGCACACTTGAAAGGTGAGTAGTAGCAACGATGGCACTTGGTTGGCATGGCAAGTGACGGCACACCTGTTCCACAAAGCACGTGACCGGGACCACTTTTGTATACCATATTTTATCTGTTCTTGATAATCTTGCTGGAGCAAAAATAACACTGTGGCTGAAAAACCTTAAGCTGTTCTTTATGTTGGCGTACCTCATGCTTCCCGGCATGCATGCACACCCTTGAACCATGAATGAGCAGCTGGTTGAAAGGAAAAGAGCCTTTCTACTAGAAGTAGGTTGAAAAATTCCTAAAGGGATCAGGAAAATTAGTCTGAGTAACTTGGCTATTAATGAATTAAAAATGCATTGTTACTGCGTCTCTTAGCAAGATTGAGGGATTATCTAATATACTCAGTAATAGATTGGAGGGTGGGGGACTGTCTTTATTTGTAAGAGATGGTGGCCCCATCTATATTCCTCTGTACCAATTAAGGAGCTGGGAGCTGCTATAAGATTGATTTGCACAATATACAAAGTCAAAATGGCAATAAGCTATAGCTGCTCACAGTGATTCTGTACTTTTGTCATTAAGTTCCAGTCTTGATATAATCTTAGACTGCTAATCTCAGACAGACCATAATTTCGGGTGGGAGAGTAATCCCTTTATTCCCTATAGTAATTATTCCTGGATGGGATTGAGGGATAGATGCAAAGCACTATGAAAGTACGTACAGTATTTATATATCAGACTAAAATAACGATTCTTGGCATAGTTCATAGCAGGTGGGCGCTAAACTTATTTGAATAGTTCTATTCATCTTTATCCCTGCTTGCATTATTTTTCATCCTTTGAGCTTTTGCTTCGCTTTTGCTTCTCTTGCATTGATCTTAAAATGGGATACACCAACAAACAACAAGAAATATTCTCTAACTCGAAAATCACCCATAAAATAGATTATATGTTGTGATCAGTGAAATATATTTTAAGCCTATCTTTACTTAAAACTATACATTCTGTGGGTATAGCAAAAGCGGTCAAGGCAACGCAGTTAATTCCATTAAATTTAAGAAATTATTTGTGTTGTTTCTTAGTCCGGATTCCGATTTGGTGACAGCTGAGAAAATTAAGTTCGCATGATTTGGAGTATTACCAAATCCAAGAACTTAGCTTTCTATATTCTTCAAATAAAGTTAGGATTCTTTTTTGCATTGGTGTTCCAGTGCATGTCCATATTATTATATATCTCCGTTGACGGTTCAGTCTAGTTTGCAATAGTTTTTGCAGACAAAATGCCAATTGTCATTTCATGCAGACAACTGGCCCATAAATCTTTTTAGAAATTCCCCAATCTGTTTTAAATCACTATGTCTTACAGTCATTGCACTTGAGAGAGTTTCTTTTCCAAAGAAATAACAGGTGAAAATAATATACAGAGAACACCATTTGATTTATATCGCTAAAGAATGAAAAAGTAAGATGATGCAGATTGGTTGGTTATATATTACATCAGCAGTCCCCAACCTTTGTGGCTTGGCAGCCCGGCGGGGGGGTGGAGGAAAATGGGCCATGCGAGTATTGGGCCAGCAGCGCGTGCACAGTTCAACTTGTGCGAGTGATGGGCCAGCACACACAGCTCAACTTGCGCAAGTTGAGCTGTGCACGTGTGTGCATGCACGCTGGCCTGCCAGTTGCACAAGTCGAGCTGCGTGTGCACTGGCCCACTGCTCACGCAACCCGGTTGCAAATAGGCTGCAGCCCAGTTGTGGTCCATGACCAGGAGTTGGGGAGCCCTGTATTACATCAGAGCAGAATAAACAAAGTCCACAATACAATGCATTCCACATTTTTAAAACTTCAAATTCATATTTAATTTATTGGACTATTATACTGTTATGGATATAAATTATTATTTTTTCTTATTAAGATTCATAATTATTATTATGAATAATAATAATTATATTGCTTAGCAAGCATATTTTTTAGCTAATAAAGCTGATTTTTTCCCCCAAATCTGAAGTGAGGATCATTCTATATGAAAGCCAGTACTGCTAGGATGATGGAGAAATTTTTTTGACTACCCGTATTTGTTCAAAGCTATGGAATCTGCATCACGGAGTGAGCTCCCATTACTTGTCCCAGCTTCTACCAACCTAGCAGTTCAAAAGCATGTAAAAATGCAAGTAGAAAAATAGGGACCACTTTGGGGGGAAGGTAACAGCGTTCCCTGCGCCTTTGGCGTTTAGTCATGCCGGCCACGTGACCACGGAGACGTCTTCGGACAGCGCTGGCTCTTCGGCTTTGTAACGGAGATGAGCACCGCACTAGAGCCAGAAACGACTAGCATGTGTGTGTGAGGGGAACCTTTACCTTATGGAATCTGTTAATCTCCATCACTGTAGGGTTTCTGAAAAATGCTAGTCTAAATTGTTTCCTACTGTTTCTTCTTAAAAGTATAGCATTGGCTTTCAAAATAAATAGGGTTTTGTACAATGGTGTCAGCTGGTAAAAGCTGTTCCACCAGAAAACACATTGTGAATTTCTGAATCCTTCTCTGTCTTCTATAAATACAGTATTAAATAAAATAAAATCTGATCATCCAAAACAGATTTGCAGCAATTATGGAAGTGTAAGGAAATTATTGTGAAGCCCCAACTCACTAAACCTTTCTTTTTCCCCCGGTTATATATTGCTGGTTTGTTTCTTCTTTGTTTTAGTATCCCAGTTCTGACTCAGAACTAGTTCTACATAACTTTATGCAGACATAAAGGAATTTTAAATCAATAAATAGGTTGCCATCTGTTGGATATGCGTTCACCATTTTGAGAGAAGGAATCAAGACACTAGACCGTTTCTCCTAAAGTGACAAATATCAATTAATTTTTGCTCTATGTGAGGGTTCAGACTTTTATAAAATGCAATATTTTAGATAAATATGTACTTTTTAATGCTTTGATTGATTATGTATTGCCTGACAGCTGAAATATGTGCTCTGAAGGTCTGTACCTAGCCTTTTCCCCCTCAGGACTTCTGTACTCCCGGTTGCTCTGGGTGGTAGAAGAATGCAGTCCCCTGCATTAGATGGTATGTTGTTATCTTTCTTTAATACAGAAAAACTAAGGCGTAGTCTTCCAAACCTCTCCAGGACATCTAACATCCATGTTGAGTCTGTGAAAAACAGTAGAAGTGACTCAAACTTTCAAGTGCCAAACGGAGGAATACCTCGTATTCAGCCTCAGTCCTCAGCCAGTAAGTATCTTTACAGTGATGCTGTAAATGCAGCTTCTGAAAGAAGGCTGAAAATTGTAGCTGCGTGTTTACAGTTTCATGGTAAAGGGATTGGATGTTTCATGTGGCTAACGCTAACTTAGCCAGATCTAATGTATGTCGAATGAATGAAATTATTTTTTCTATCCCACCATTGAAAACATTTTTATTGTCCCAAGTTGCATTTTTTTTTCTATTGATATGTATTCCTTTCTTTTTAGGTTTACCCAGAGAACTTTAGTGATTCTTTAAGCATTCAATATCATCAGCAAATATAATGTCCATATTTTATTTATTATCACACAAGTATACTACCTAGGGTTTAATGTGTGCTGCACATTTTCTTGCAATTTGCAGCTGTGATATCTTCAATATAATACAAAACATATTGAAAAGCCATTTTCTTTTTGCAGTTATGGCTCAATACTGTTTTTTGGGGGAATAATAAGATAAAGACAGTGCATTGTTCTCTGTGGATTCTCCTAAATGGATCAAAGGACAGCCATTCTCATTTCATACTTTAGACTGGGTTCCTAAAATGCTTGCCTGAATAAAGGCAAAACTTAATGTTGCTGATTTCACAAACATCTTTGTGACCTCTGCAGATCTTTATGCGCTGAGCTCTAAGAACGGCACAAGATTATTTGTCCACATGCATTTTTCTGCAGTTAGAAACTATCTTAAGTCCCTGATCAGCAAACTCAAACTGAACATATTCTTGATTTCCATGCTCAGTGCATAGATGCCTGCAGAGGTATGCGGATGTTTGGGGCAAGGCTCACTCGCTTTTTCTTGCCGTCAGTGCTTTCATGCTTACATCTACCATCTACACACCTGCAAAGGGCTTAAAAGTAGCACAATATGCTGGACACGATAATGTGATTAATTACATAGCCATTGTTTGAGCATGTTGATTTGCTTTGCATCCATTTTGCTAAGGAATCGCTGTAGGGCTATGGGAGGATATATTATAAAAATAAGAGTTTTGACTTTTCAGAGAATATTATTAATTGCCTTGTGTGTCTAGAAGGGACAGGCGAATAATACAGACACAGCTCTAGTATATGGATATAAAATACATACTTTATATGTGTTGTAGAACCGTGTGTTTCAAATTTGGAAGAAACATGGAGACCTATCAGGCATGGAAGCGTTAGGAAGCTCAGGATTAAATTACACTTGGTAGAAAACATGAAGCTTAACATAGCATATATTGTTGCTTAACTGTTGAGTAATAGCTGTTCATTCAGAATCAAGTCCAGAGCACTTATAGGGAGAAAGGGTATTAATATCTTGCCTAGTCACTGCTAACATGTTTTTTTGAAGGTTTATATGACCTGAGAGCTTTTAATTTGGAAGAACACATTTCTCTCTGTCATCCCAATTGCCAAATCTCCAACTAAACAAAGATGCATTTAATGATATTGGACAGTATGTGCTTAACATTGTGGTTTGCCCCTACTGTATTATTAAGTCTGATATTAAGTTTGATATATAGAAATCTTGCTATTACATACTTTTCGGTGTTCGTGGTTTACCTTCCCATGTTTTCTTTGGATTTGCTTTTAAAAAACTTTTATCACTTTACAGTGTCCTTTGCACTTCAAACTGCTGTTCTGCATGGGCTTAACTTGACAAGGTTACTTTGATTTCTGTTTAAAACTATTACCTTTTTCATTCCACAAGTAAGATTTCAGAAACTGCAGGCCTACTATATTAGTATTGAAAAATACATTGGAAATATACATAGTGTGTCCAAACTGATATAAATGTCAGCATATATCATTAATATGCATATATAAATGTCAGAACATTTACAGATGTTGATACCTATGTTGAAAAGTGTGTTTCTTTTTATACTAAGTTCAGAGCTGACAGCTCTGTTTTAAGTGGGTAACAGTAAGCTGTAGTTTATTTCAGTCATGGTTTGTCAAGCAATCCGGTTAGTTTTTCACATCCTATAATTAGTTCTTTGCTCAATATTGGCTTAATCCTGCCCTCATTTTAATGCAATATACCCTGAAGATTTTGCTGACATTCCTGAGTTAGCACAGTCTCAATAGTACTTACAATAAACTCAACTGCTTTGAAACTCATCACATTTAGTACTCAGTGCATTTTGATGTGAAACTTTTATCCCGGTACTCATTGTTCATTTGGTATTCAGTGCAAAAGCTAGAATTTGAACATAATTCAAACTCTTTCCTCAATGGACTGCCATTAATTTATTTGCATAAACAAAAGCAACGAGTTAATACTTAACCCACACTGGCTTTGGCAGAAATTTACGTAACATTTTCATCTTCAGAAAAACAGAAAAAATCTGTTTCCAGTTGTTCTCTAGAATTCCCCACCCCCCAAAAAAAGATCAGTGCTTACTCATTTCGGTTTCCTAGACAACTTTTGATTTGCACCTTAATACCCACTATATTTTATACAAATCTTGCCCATAAAAACTATCCTTGGTTATGGGCTCCCAGCTTCCGAAGATTCTTTCTCCATAACCAGCACCTGTTCATCAATAAATACATATTTTTGATTCGTGAGAAACTTGGTTCATTAGCAAACCAAAGCAGTATTTGGTTACAGCAGAAAAGAAATGGTGGAGAAAAGAAGTTGTGCATAATGAGAGATCTCTTGGGAATATGTTTTCGGGGATAGATACAGATAATTGGGAGAAATTATTCCAAGTGGACTTTCCCCCTCATATTTTTGGTATAATTTATTTGATATCAGCTGACATTTTCAGGCTATGTATTTGAATAAATGAGTAAGAGGGTGGCATGGTGGCCTAGAGATGGAGCTCAATCAGGATGCCCTGAGTTTGATCCTAGGTCACAGCAGACATTTCTCTCTCTGTGCGCAAAGAGAAAATATCTGCTGTGAGCTCTAAATAGGCGTTAGGAAGGGCATCCGGCCAGTAAACACTCAGCATCCAATCAGTTGCCGTAACTGCACCTCAATGCAAGAGATTGCAGAGTTGTTAAAAGAAAAAAAAATGAATAAGACTTATCTTCAAGTGGCATAGGAAAGAAGTTACTTCAATCTCAATTTTTAACCACCTAAATGTAACCTTTTATTAGGCAGGTTTCTTCCCAGTTGCTATTATACAAACCTAGACTGCTAGGTTTGGCAGCAGAGGTGAATTATTAGAGGAAAGGCAGACAAATAAAGAATCATGCAGCCACTGAAAGAATGAATCTGGAAAGGCAAAAGAAACAAAAGGAGAATATTATGAGTTTAAATGCAACGATATTTCAAAGTCAAACTAGGAATTAAAAAATAATAATTAAGAAGAGGGTTGATCTGAAAACCAAGCATAAACTATAATTAGAGTCAGAATCAAACCTCAATTCATCTAGAAAAATGATGAAGTTAAAATTTTACTAGCATTAGGATCTCTTAAATCCAGCGGAAATACTTTATGTGCTTTTCCCTCTTAGCTGAATATTGTGTATGTCAATGTGTGTGCCATTTTATATTTTTTGAAATGGGAGGCCAAAGGGGGGGAAAAATCTCTGTTTTAGAGGTGAGCAGAGGATATAACATTATTTCAGTGAATAATTTTAAAGATATATTTTTAACACAGTACCATTTATTTGGATGATTAAAAATTAAAACACCTACTATTGAGGTCAGGGAATACCCGAGCCATTTGCTAAATCTCCTTAAACTAATTTAAAATTAGATAAGTGCCAATTAAACTAAAGATAGATAATTATATAGCATATTCCCTAACAGGAAGACTCGTAATTATTTGAACTTAGGGAAGGGAATTGTTGCTCAGAAGAATAGAAGAAAAGTGAATTGCAGAGATGCAGATAACTCTGAATTTTATGGCCTTTGAAGAGCTTGAAGTTTAGCTATTGCTTGGCGGAGGCTGTTTTGCCTACTTAATTTGCCCCTTTGTGTAATATCAATTTTTAATTGCATGCCAGTGTCCCCATAGTATAAAAAATGACAATACAGGCTATATTAAATAAATATCTATCAGGATTTCCCCTTTTTATTTCTTCTTCTCCAAATGCCTCTTCCTTATCCTTGTCTTCTTCTAGCTTTCTTCTCTCATTAACTCTTCCCTCATCCTGTTTCCATTGTTGCTGCTGCTGCTAATTTTTCCTTGGTTTTACATATGGAGCAAAAGGAAACAGACAGTGGTATTACGTGTGAACGGCTCTTATCTGTGAAAAAGATCCATAAATGCAAATAGGAGCAGTTTCAGGTTTCCCCTGGCCTTTGTCAGAAAGTGTCTTCTCAGTGGCTGCACACACACGAAGCACAGATAAATCAATAAAAAAAATAACCTATCTCCCTGTTCTCCAAAATGCTTGTCAAGCAGCTGACTTTTAAAATTATTCTCAAAATGAGTTCAATTATGTCCGTCTGATCTAGAGTATGTTAAGAGTGGTCGTCCGGTTAAAAAAGGGCTTTTTGCACACTAAAGCAAGGCAGAAGATGCTAAAGAATATTCCATGTTATGATACAGAATCCTGTTTCTGGGGATGACTTGTAGTGGACACACTAGTTTATATTGATTTTCACCTATCAGCTTTAATATTTGACATCCTATATTTTCTTTCCCTCTCTTCCGTGTTGATTGCAGAGTTTCTTTACCACAGAGATTAAATCTGTCTGTGTTTGCCTTTTCTGTCTAATAGGAGTAGATTGTTAAATAACTATCACTGTAATAGTTGAGTAACCCTATCTGGAATGAAGAAATGCCCGGTTTGAAATAGGAAGGAGAATAGTTGGCAATTTTGTTTCAGAAATAAATATTATTTAAAATGCACATACCTTTGGGGAAAAGTCTATGGAGATTCTTAGTCATCCAAGTCATGGTTGTCCCAAAGGTGCTTTTGCAGGAAGCAACTGGACTTTCTGTTTCCTAGCATGATTTGATTGCTTATTGTACCCTGTGACTATCATTAAGTGTTGTACCTTATGATTCTTGACTCTTGATGAATGTATCTTTTCTTTTTATGTACACTGAGAGCATTTGCACCAAGACAAATTCCTTGTGTGTCCAATCACACTTAGCCAATAAAGAATTGAATTCTATTCTATTCTATTCTATTCTATTCTATTCTATTCTATTCTAT